TGGCCCAGACAAGTAAATAACCAAACAAACATTATGTTACTTTAATTAAGATTAGTCTAATAACTGAATTTACCTAAGTAACTCACTAACAAATTATTCTATTACTTAACATTAGTTTCACAGCTAATTTTACTTAAGAAACTCCTTTCTCCAGAACATAAGTATGTTTCACAAAAAATACACATAACATCACGTCTTTTTATCGGCATTATGCCACTGTACAATGTAACACCCACTTTTTACTATTTATGTTATGAGTCCCACGTAATAGGGGGTGAGCCTATTGCCATATACCGGGCACAATTCCAGACTCCGTGCTAGGACTGTGAATTTTTTGAAAAACCCAGTAATACTTTGCCCGACCCGGGAATCGAACCCGAGACCCCTTGCCCTGTAGTCGCACTTGCGACCACTCGGCCAATGAGGCAGTTATCATGTCAGACAAAAAATACTACTTCTATTTTAAGACTTCGTCGTCATTAGTTAGAAGATGGATCTGTTGGTATGCTGATCTCGTCCATTGGAGGTAAATACAGATGGACATTTCCTAACCATATTCTAGGACCGATTCATACAAAGCATAATTTTTCTTTAAAGACTAGTTTCAGATGTTGCACAGTGCGTAACACGTATTGTGTATACAGAAAGTTCTAAAGCCTCTTGGCGTACTCTCATACGCTACTACTAACGCCATCTATGTTGCGAATGAGAAAAAAAGACTGCAATGTGACTCCTTTTTTAAACCACAAAATCACTGTATTAACATTATGTTGTTACTTTCTTAACATTCATGACCCATAAATCACAAATTGTTAGTAAAGTACTAATTAAATAAGAGTCGAACAATATTCAAGATTCAGTATTCAATTATGTAAATGATGATGAGAGAAATAAATAAATTATTATTATTCACTACCACATCTATAGGTTCTTTGACACATATCGAACTACATCTATAGTTTCCCGTTCAATGACGATAACAAACTTGGTATATACATAGGTACTAACTTGCTTATATCTAAATTACAATTAATATAGTTTGAATTGAATACTTGTCTGGCCACAAGCATGCCAAGTACACGAAAGTGCGGTAGGTGGAAATCCACAAAGCGTAGTTAATGTCCTTAACTTTACTTTGACTTCGACTTTGATACATCAGACTGAGTGAAATGCTCTTTGGAGTGAGATTGTTACGTCATCTATGTTGTGGAAAAAGCAATCTGTATATTTATGGAAACTAAAATGGATATTACGAACTAATTTTTTACACATTGACATGAGACATGAGAGTGATCTGATTTTCTTTTGTTTTTAAAGTTTGTTTCATTCAATTGTATAATAATAACATAACATCACGCCTTTTATCCCCGAAGGGGTAAGTAGAGGTGTACATTATGCTACTGTACAATGTAACAACCACCTTTCACTATTTATGTTATACCGGGCACAATTCCAGACTCGGTGCTACTATTGTGAATTTTATGAAAAACTCAATAATACTATGCCTGACCCGGGTTTCGGACCCGAGACCCCTTTCCCGACAGTCACACTTGCGACCACTTCGGCCAATGAGGCAGTCAGTAGTAGGAAGTAGTTTATTGAGTTTATAGAATAATTAAAGTATGTAATAGAATCATCAAACCATTCGAAAATATTCACTCGATTTGACATTTTAGTTACCTTTTAGTTACATTTAGATTTGACATTTTAGTTAGACAACCTAACAATTTAGTCTTTGTGCCATTTGTCTAGAAGATTTCAAAACAAAGAAGTATTTTTGTACCAGGAGTTTATCTCTAAGATTTATTATTAGACAAAACGAATAATAAAAAAAAACCATCAAAAGATGATCTTTTGTTAATGATTTATTTTATCAGTCAAACCGTTAAGGAAGAGGAAAATAATTTATTTTTAAATTCACCTTCTTGTGGCTGACCAACTTGCCCAAAAACATAATATTTGGGTGATCCTGGATTATACGGTAAAATCTATTTTTGGATATATTTTTCGTCACAGAGACGACGAAATGAGGATATACTTATATAACAACTTTATTTTCAAACCCCATCACCACGCTATCCCACATTGTTATAGGGCTTAAGCTCTTACTTATGACTTTCATAAAATCTTGATACACTGACTGGTACAAACAATTAACAATGACCTAATTTTGTTAAAACTAAAGTATTTTTATTTAATATTCAAATTAAGCTAACTACAAGAACTAATTTAAAATTCAAAACAGAAATTACTAAACCTATTTTGACAGTTTTAAAGCTTCGTTTAATAAAATATAGATACAATATTCATTAGTAGAGTTGGCGAACAAGAAAACTGGTACAAAATGTCAGCGAAAATTAAGGTCGTTCGAATTATTGTTGAATAAGCTGACAACGTTTCTACTGGAACGAGGATTGAGTTTGTTAGTGTCAAAGTTTATGTACCAATCACAGGTTCCCAATTACCTTGATTGGCTAGATAAATAATATTTAGTGGAATTAGACATCATCTTAAGTGTGGGAGAGCCAAGCTTCGGCATGAATGGGCCGGTTCGACCGGAGTGATACCACGGCCTCACAGAAAACCGACGTGAAACAACGCTTGCGTTGTGTTTCGTCGTGTGAGTGAAGTTACCGGAGGCCCAATTACCCTCCCTTTCCCAAATCTCCCCAATCCCTGAATCCCCAACGATCCTCAAACTCCTAATCCCCAAAAGGCCGGTAACGCACTTTTAACGCCTCTAGTGTTCCAGGTTTTCATGGGTGACGCCGATTGTTTACCATCAGGTGATCCGTATGCTCGTTTACCGGTTCATCTCATAAAAAAAAATCATGATTGGATTTTTATGCCTTCCATATCCCAGTGTTTCTTTTTACCGACTTCAAAAAATGTCTATTTCTATAGGAGTATATCTATAGGAGGTACTATGTTCGGCTGATTGTTTTTTTTTAAGTAACACGTCCTTATAGTTTGCACTATTAAGCGTACGGCGCGTCACGTTCCGCGCCCGTCTCAAAGAGTCATCATCCCACCACAGATAGGCCCAGTAAAGCTGATTCCGATACGGAGTGGCAAAGGACTTAACTGGTTATTAAGGCTCGCTCAAAGTGCAGGAATAGGAGCGGGGTGGTTTTTACTCAGTAAGAGTTTGACACTCCCTCTCGCCTCACCCGAGTGGCAGAAATAATTCGATGATTTTCCCACATTCAAAAAATGGTTTACGATATCATACAATGGTTTTTCTATCTTCGGTCTTTAGCTCAAACAATTGAATTTCTATATACGTATCTGATAATATTGTTATTTCTAACTTCGCTCACAACGCGCTCAATCTATTGTTACGCCCTAGTAATTGATATTACGCAGGCACGTGTCAATTATTATCATTTATCAATAACATTTTTTTCTCAGAATTATGATATTAATTATTGTAGGAGTATCGTCCGCCTATTGAAATCTGAAAACATAAAACGATTTATCTCATCTTCACACAGAGCAAACACTAGACTGTTACTGGAATGATTTCAGCAAAAATACGACTGAAATCCGGCAAAGTTTGTCTTTACTCTAGACACAAAAAGCACTAAGTATGTTTGTTCAGAAATATTTTCCTTCCAAACTCAAAATTGGGGACGGGACAAATACCAGTACTTTATGTTTATAACGCGGTCAATATGTGATGTCTGCAAGGAGTTATGGTACAATCAATCTGGTTCGACAAATGTCCTCTGTTAGATATGGAAGAAATGTGATCATACTTTGTCATTCTTTTTTGGTGTGCAAGTGGAACCGAGGGCATATATCGTATGTCAGGTTTTGTTTGACAATTTATTGAGGTGGCTCATGTCCCTTTGTTTTTTGATCTCCACGTGGAAGCCATGTCGGTGTGTATGCCAGGAATTCGCTTAGAATTAATATACTTTTCCTCATATTTTATTATAATTATTTACGGTAAGATTATATTACATTTAAGTAAAACTACCTTATGTTGTTATAAAGGCTTTTCAGTTAGGATATCTATTACTTTGGTACTAGTTTGTAAGAAGTTATTTGAAATAGAAGACAAGCTTACAATGGTTTTAATTCAAGGCTCTTTGTCATATTTTTTATTTTAAATTCACTCCTTTGTTCAAATTATCTCACTAATTACTATGATCAGTGATGTTATAATAAAAAGCTACGATTTAATGAGAAAAGCAAAACTGAATGCTGAAATATTTTTTCATAAAAATGTAGTTATCCAGTCCCTTTTTTAATTTTAACTAAAAATGTTTGAGCACTTTATTAATTTGAGATTTAACATTAAACATAGAATGAATAATATTTATTATTAACATTAAGACCTTTTTAACTTAATATGTTTTGAAAATAAAATAGAGGCATTAATATGAGATTATTTTTTTAATGAAAAACATATTGTTAACTAATATAATATGACGAAGTAAAATAAGGAAAATATTATTTCATTTAAATATAATTTATGATTTTCCGCCGTTTTCAGAGTCAATTAATAGTTACTTATCCCAGTGGTTAGCAATTGTTTTACTTATAACAAAATTATTATTATTAAGTCTTAGTAATCGATAAATATCTGAGTGCGGCAATGATGCGTCACATCACTTACATAACATAACTAACATCACGCCTTTTATCCCCGAAGAGGTAGGCAGCCAGTTAATGCCACTGTACAATTTAACACCCACTTTCCACTATTTATGTTATGAGTCCCATGTTATAGGCGGTGAGCCTATTGCCATATATCGGGCACAATTCCAGGCACCGTTCAACTAAAGAGATCTTTTTTTAAACCCAGTAATACTTTGGTCGCTGGGAATCGAACCCGAGACCTCTTGCCCGGCAGTCGCACTTGCGACCACTCGGCCTAACAAGGCAGTTAATGCATCATAAAATATCTTATTATATAATTTAACTGTAATTAGAATATTCTATTGATAATTTTCATTGTAAAAAATATCCTTTACATGGAAAATGTAGGTTAGTGTTCCACAAAACATCAATGTATATTCCTATTTTTTTTATTTCCAGGTGTCACGAGCCTTCGAGACGTCATGCTTCTAGTTGAGCCTTCGACAGTTATCAGGGGTGGCACAGCCGCCCTAATTTGCTCTCGGGATATGCAGGGCGCGCCACTGTACTCCGTGAAATGGTACAGAGGCAACCATGAGTTCTACAGGTATACGCCGATGGAAGATCCAGACACCAGAGTGTTTGGACTGCCTGGGATTTATGTGGATGTAAGTAGTAATTCAACATGTATACTAGATTGTGTGTTAAAAATTAGAATTCCTATTCTTTTTTTATATAATGTTACAGATTAATTTTCCACAGACTCTTGGTCCGTGTTCTTGTCAAACAATTTTTAATTACAATACGTCTAATAAATTTTTATAGACTTAAGATTTTTTTTTTATTAAGTTATTAGTATAATACGTCAAGTGTGTCTTTGCATTGTTCTTACATATATGCGTACAGTATTGAAATATGTATCAGAGACATTGTAAAACATACTTTTTTTAAAAAGAGTAACGAATGGAGTTTCTTTCTCGTTCTTCTCCATTCGAATCTACACTTTGGAATGAGCACCTAGCTTCACCTAATTTCACCGACGGACTGACTGGCAGACTATTATTTATTTTGTATAATTGTTGACGTTTCAAAAGTACCAAACTACGGTTTATTTGAAATAAATGCTTTGACTTTGACTTTATAAAGTAAAGAAGGTACCTAGTTACACACCACACTACTAGAATTCCTATTCGTTTTCATATAAAATCTCAATCTTGTTACCCTGCGGAAATTGTTGCGAATACAAAATACGTGACGGGAACTTGTCAAACTAACCGTGTATGAGTAGTTCTCTACACCGATCATAGATGGCGTTGATGATATGAATCATAGATGAATGTTTTACAATATTGTTTCCCTTATTATTTACCTTTGTCCCGAGGGTATAGCTATTGTTAATCTGTCAAACACCGAGCGGTCACCGGTGACCGCGACCTATTGTTCTTTAATTGTGTCTATAAAACCGGTACTCGACGAGTTAATTGGTATTATACGACTAGTATATACTCGTAAATAGATACCACGTATAAATGAACACACGTGCTTCTAATATGAAGTAACAATTTGTAATTCACACGTAAGAGAAACACGACTGTTTCTCTTCCTTATTATAAGACAATAATGTCTTATAATATTATAAGACAATAATGTCTTATAATATTTTATAATTCATGGTTTTGCTTATAATGTTTTACAAGTCTTAGGAATAATTTAGAATAGATACTTTTTTGGAGGAAAATTCCGAACATAAAATTCTATAATAGGGATGATGACAGGGTATAAAAATTAAAATGTAATTAGTCCGTCAGTTAGGTAATAAAAAAATATAAAACACGTATTGTTTTATTTTGTTGTATAATAAAATGATAAAGCGATATAACGAATCAAAGTTTAGGAGTGGGGGCTAAAACGTCAATTTCTACGTATAAAATGTACATACATAGACGTCACGCGACATTTCAAATCAATATATATCTTCGAAACTATTCGTTGCCGTAAAAAAAATAAAAATACGTACCTATCTAAAATAATCTACCAGACGGATATTAAAATAAAAATTAGTCATCTACCCTATTAATGAAAGAAAAGCTTTTTATGACCTCATTTTCTTTATGTAGGTAAACACGTATTTTCTCTCAAGTTGACAATAAAGTGTACGACAATAAAGTAATAATTTCAATGGATTTTTTTTTACCTAGGCTTTGCTCTTCACAATTTTAAAGACTAAAAATCTCACTAGAGGGTACTGGTTTCCTCTTCTCCCTTACTCTGTTGTAGACCTTATTTCCGATGTTTAGAGACTACTTTTGCAAGTGTTTAATATACGTAATGATGATAAAATCATCACCATATAAATCAGAGCAGAGTCGTGGTGGCCCGGAGGTTTAAGACGCCCGCTTCTCATACATGAGGGTGCGGTATCGAAACCTTCCAACGGCAAGTACCAATGTGACTTTTTCCGAGTTATATGTAGGTACTTTCTAAGATTATTTAGACACCACAAACGGTGAAAGAAAACATCGTGATGAAACCTAGACTTATAATTTCTAATAATAAGTTTGAAATCGCCAACTTGCGTTAAGCAAGCGTGGTGATTAATACTCAAACGTTCTCCGTGTGAGAATAGGCTTTGTTCAGCAGTAGGCATTTATACTTAGGCTGTTAATGATGATGATATGAACCACAAGACGTCAATTGCAAAACATAACTGCCTTCCTAAGTTTCCTAACTCATTTTTTTAAACCCTCTTAAAAGTTACAATACCATATTTCAATTTAGTATCTAAAAGTTCACAATAACCAATCACATTACATCATGGAGTTCAATCACCTTAAATAAAAACCACCCTGAAGGTACATAAAGATAATTAGGGCCTTCCCTTCCAGTGTGTTCCTACTCCTGACTCGATCAGGGACTGATTAAAGATGCTATTACACGGATGAATGGGCCTCGATAGCACCAATCTAATTCTTTGGAGTCACCTGCTATAAACAAAGCGAACGATCTGAGAGTTGAACGGAATGGTGCAGTGATTGTGAAATTACTTTTTTGCATCACATTCTATTTTTGGGTTTTAACGCCTCGTTGGCCGAATGATCGCAAGTGCGATTTAGAAGACTCAACTAAAAGCATTACGTCTCGAAGGCTTGTGACACCTGAAAATAAAATAAAAAATAGGAATACCTTGATGTTCACGGGACACTAAAAGATATTATTTACACTGAGAATTATTTACTAGGTTTAAAAAAAGTCAGTTTTAGCACAGAGTCTGGAAATGTGCCCGGTAAATATATGGCAATAGGCTCACCCCCTATTGCATGGGACGGGGCGTGGGCGGGGCTTCGAATTTTGAATTTTGGCGCGAACGCGAATTCACTTCGTTACCACCATTTTTCTTATCGCGCTACAAAGGAGGTTTTTATATAAGAGTTACCTACAGTTGTTTAAAAAGTTAAACTTTGAAATTACATCATCTAAAACGCATGTGTCATTGTGTATTTGTTACGGACATACTGGAACCAATTTATAGACTTTTTATTAAGAACGTAAACCAATTTCCTATTCTGCCAAACTAAGAACAATGAAAAAGAAGAACGGCGTTAACTAAAATTTAAAACTATTATAAGAAAACTCATATTGATTGTTGTAGAATATAATATTATTTACCTTGGTACACCGTACAATGCGTCGTCCTCGATGCTGAGCCCGAGCAAATAGGCCGAATCCTTCACCGAAATACCCCCAAGTCACTTTCGTTTGGGAATAGTGATGACCAAGTCACAATTCAACTTATCAAATAATCGATAATCAACTAAAATAATACTAATATAATTTCAAAACCTAACACTATATACCTACAAAAGTCATTACCAAAGCAAAAATGAAACTAGACGAGAATTTATTGTTTCATTACCTAAATAAATTTAAAGCAGATAGAAAGAACACACTACCAAAAACCAGTTTTATGGCCAATGAACGAACAATTTGTGAGCAAACCTTCGAAAATTTAAACAAAACTGGCAGTTTGAACGTTTGAATATGGTCAGCTAAAAAGTGAATGTACAAAAAACAGGACGACAAAAATCTGGGACGCATATTTTGTAACTGTTTCAAAACATTTTTACTTTACTCGTTGGTTGTTTTGTTGGTTGCAAACGTTGTCGGTACGGAAAAGAACCTATTCTCGGGTTCAGTAAAGTATTAGCAGGTACACAAACACATACACTACACAATTATTATGAATAATACACACAACTCATTTTTTCAGATAGTACCTTATAAAATTATGAATGCAGTACGTATATCTTATACTCTAATCTATACTTTTTTTTTAAGGGGGAAAATCATCGAATGACTGCTCCCGCCTGGGTGAGGCGAGAGGGAGTGTCAGACTCTTACTGACTAAAAACCACCCCGTTCCTTCTCCTGCACGTCGAGCCGGAGCCCCGGTTACCCGTTAGGTTCTCCGCGACTCCGAATCGGCATCGGCCCTATTGGGCCCCATCTGTGGTGGTCTGATTCTGATGGCTCTTTGAGGCGCGCGCGGAACGCGACGCGCCGTACGCTCGGACTCTAATCTATACTAATACTATTATATAAAGCGGAAGAGTTTGTTTTTTTGTTTGTTTGTTTGAACGCGCTAATCTCCGTAACTACGAGTCTGATTTGAATAATTCTTTTTGTGTTGGATAGCGCACTTATCGAGGATGGCTATAGGTTATAAAACATCACGCTACGATCAATAGGAGCTGAGCAGAGCGTGTGAAACCGCGCGGAGGTAGTTAGTTATGTATACGCACGCATGCATTGCACATTACACAACACGGCGGCCTACTCGATAACTATAAAATATATTTTGTTAATATAACTTTGCCCCACACTAGGATTCTGTCCTGTGTCATGGGTGCGTTTACAAACATACAAGTTTACATACACAAGACAAATTGTGGATCAAACAAAGAATTGCTCGTTAGAGTCCAATCCCTCATCTATACTTGGTAAATTGCCTTACGGTAAAAAATCCTGTTATCATACTTTTTTCCGAAACAATATAGTATTTGCTACAAAGCACGAAAGGTCGGCACTAGTCTTACTTTGCCAGATTGAATCGATAAAGACCGAATCGAGATTGAAAACGATTTTCGAAGTGCGATCCGTCGAGTGTATAGTGCTGTCTACTATTCATTACAGCGGAATGAGGTTTTTCAAATCTCTTTTATTGTTGAGGTATTTTAAAGGAATATCTGGAGGTGGATACTTTGAAATTCATTTCAGTTATTTACTATTTGTTAGTAGAAGTGTTTCTTTGTACGATTTGTGTTGGAAACGAATTTTGTGTATGATTTGGTGACTTGAGAAAGTAAAAGGGAAAAAATTGAGACATAATTTCACATTTACTACTAATGAATGAAATGGTTACTAAGTGATAAACACGCTTAGGTAAGCACTTTATTTATTTATTTAGGGGACAAAAAACAGTTACATATTAAAATATTACATAAAAAGTCTTACACTTACCAATAGCTACAGTAAATATGTAACCCACACCATTGCCCACAATTTGGTATAGAATATATCGGCATTAAAGACCGTTTTACGGTAACTGTTATCTTAATCTAATTAAATTATTTTTTACTAAATATAAAAAATAACACATTAAAAGATACCACAAAGAACCAATGTACGAATCTAATATTTAACAAAAAGAGAAAACCAATAAATAAACATCCATTACTGTTACAAACTAGCAGTTAGAAGCCCCATGGCCTGCTTACGAAAGCGAAAATATGTTTCATGTTTCATGTATGTTTAGATAATCCTTATGTAATATTGAAGTACTCAACGAACTAACACTAGCCACGATTTCTTCCTAACAGGTCGACTCAGTAATATTTTGTTCAAAAATCACAAGTATTGAGACATTGTTAATGATCAACTATCCTGTTTATCATTCAAACGAGCGCCAACAAAACAAAAATAAATTAAATTGTCCTTATAACTTTGTTCGTTATCTACCAATGACTAAACGAATTTACGATTTTTATTAATGGCATTATTAATGGGCTATAGAAATTTTAACAAGCATTAGCATAAAAGTGAAACATTCTGCCAGGAGGTCAATGAACCCTGACCTCGCCGCTTAAATACAAAATAAGTTTCAATCAGTTGGAAAATTTAATTATTTTGACGAAAATTTTAGTGAATTCTGTGAAACATTGCTAATAGCGATGAAATTCGATTAAAATTAAATTATTTGGTCTTTTGTACATAATTCGTGTTGAATAAATAATTAATTATTGTAATCCGTTTCAGTATAATAATAAATACAAATAATATTATTTGTGTGTACCTATTCATGTATGAAATTAAGTACTTTTATATTATTTCTGAGAATATCGAAATTCTACAAATGACTTCCTTATTACTATACAGACTAGAAAATGAACCTACGATCATGACACGTAACTTTGTTAATTATTATGTTTTCGGCTTACTCACGTAACTGTTTGACGAGGAACTCGACTAGTTTCAAGCCCTGCTAGAGGTTCATAATCATAATATTCATAGCAACAGCGAGTAGGTACCAGTGCGATAGTCGCCGCGTCGCAGGTCGCGGAATGCGTGAAAATTATGTTAGTAAGAAAAGAAAACATTAATAATTAATTTAGCAGGTATCTTTAAAAAATATTGTAACGCGAAAAGCCAGCAGCGAAGTGTTGGAGTAGATAGGCTCCCGCGCTCCCGGCACACGGCCGCCGAACATAGCCGAACATTACCGAGCTAGGCTTCGCTAGCGCATGCGCGGTCGCCGCTTTTCCGCACGGCATATTGTAGGCGCGATCTTTCCCGAACGTCAATACGCATGCGCGAGACGCGCGTTGCCTGCGGCGCCCAAGCAACGAGCGAGAGTCCGCCCGCCATAACGCGTCGTAGTATAATTTCTGCATAGTTTCATTGTTAGTGTTTCTGTTTTATACCTAAGTCTCGATAAGTACACCAAGTAATTTTAACTGTTTTTGTGAAATGAGATTAAACGATTTTGTCAACTTTACAATAGGTATTTAATTACCTATTTAAAATTAATATAAAGTTATCTTTATTTAGGTATAGGGAAATTACAAATGGGACATTAACAAACAGTCATCCTTAGACCAATTATATAAAAATATTAAAAGATATTCTTAATAAAATTCCAGATGAACAGATCCAACGGTACCCAGGTGTTACTACGAAGACTGGACCTCACGTTGGCTGGGAACTTTAGCTGTGAAGTCACTGCGGACTCACCGTCCTTCGCGACGCAGATTGCTACCAAATTCATCGATGTTATTGGTAAGATATTTTTTATACTTTAACCCCTAAAAACAACTCGAAAATAGGCCTAATATCGAATTAAAGAACCTTCAGTAAAAGTGGAAGATACCTACTGCCAGTTTTCTATACCAAAGACAAGTTGAGCAAGTTCTTAAAAAATGAAAGATCATACTTAAATAACTTGATAATTATGTTATCGTCTTCATTATTCCATTCTTTACCTACCTATGTGATGGTCATAGAACTATTCCATATAAGTACTTACTTAAATTTAATAAAAAATAGACACATACATACCTACATACGATACATAACATCACGCGTTTTATCGCCGAAGGGGTGCCTATAGGTGCACATTACGGCACTCGGTGCTACTGTACAATGTAATACCCACATTTCACTATTAATGTTATGAATCCCATGTAATAGGGGTGTGCCTATCAGCGATATACCGGGCACAATTTCGGACTTGCGTGCTACTACTGAGATTTATTTTAAAAACCCAGATACTTTGTCCGACTCGGGAATCAAACCCGAGACTCCTTGCCTGACAGTCGCACTTGCAACCACTCGGCCAACGGGGCAGTCAGGCATGCGATATACATACCAATATAACATTTTTACAATTTTTATCAGTCTATCTGTCTGTATGCTTGTACTGATTAATCTTTGGAATAGATGGACCGATTTTACAAGACTTTTATTAGGTGGTAGCCGATGTAGGTACTAAGGAGTAACATAGGCTACTTTTTATATTTTAAAAATTTAAACAAAAAAAGGTTATTTTCTAAAATATATATTCTACGCGGACGAAGTCGTAGGCAACAGCTGGTTATCAATATGCAGTATATAAACACTATACTATAATAAATTAATAACATAGCAACATTAAACTGTCAAACACCAAGCGGTCACCGGTGACCGCGACCTATTGTTCTTTAATTGTGTCTATAAAACCGGTACTCGACGAGTTAAACTACAACGTGGTAAAAATTACATTATTTTTTTTTTTTAAACGTTGCCCTACACTAGGATTTTCTCCTGTGTCGTGGCTGCGTTTACAAACATACAAGTTCACATACACAATGACACCCAGACCCGAAACAACAATTTGTGGATCACACAAAGTGTTGTTCCGTGCGGGAATCGAACCTGCGACACGGTTGCCCAGCCACCGCACCAACCGTGCAGTAATAAATCTTAATAAGGCCCAATTTAATTCCAAACAACAAATATCCTCAAAATAAAATAAATTTAAATCACATACCTATTTTTCATCTCAAAAAAGACGTAATATAATTCCCACTTATAATACTTTCAATCTAAAAAAAACATGGTCCGATGTAAGTATCCCACAGGAACACAAAACATGTACGGCTGCAGTAAGTACCGACTACCGACGATGTATCCATTCAATTTATCCCAGTTATAGAGTTTAGTTTATGGCCGTCGTAACAGGTGTTGCAATTTGTCGCTCTTTCAAAATGACACACACACTATCACACTTATTATTTATCTATCGAACAGACTCCTGCAGCTGTAGCCAAATGCCATTTAGCGCTTATCTACTTGTAGAGTAGAAAACTAAATTACATGGAACTAGCTTTTACCCACGGCTTCGCTTGCGTCACAAAAGGATAAAAAGCCAATGTGACATATACCAATACACACAACGCCATCCATATAATCCAATACTTTTGTTTTCCCTCGGGAATATCAAATTTTTCCGGGATAAAAAGTACCCTATTATTTAATCCGGACTTCTAACTATACATCTGCAAAAATTCAAAGCAATCAGTTTAGTAGTTGTGACGTGGAAGCGGAACAAACCAACTCACTTTCCGATTTATAATATTAGTAAGGATTGACGTAAATTTTGACACTTGTCAGTGTCATCCACATACATTTAGTCTTCTACTCTATCTGTAGATAAGCGCTAAAGTGGCGTTTGGCTGAAGGCACTGGTATTGGTAAGGTAAGTTCAAACGCCTGGCTGTCAACGTGAACACAAGCTCGCGACGTCGCGTCCATACCCGCTACCGCGCCCGCGCGTCCCTCTGTGAACAAGCCTTATAACAAACCTTTCATAATTTTAACTTAATTTTGCAACCTTAAGTTTATTTGCAGTGATAAAATAAAAAGTTTTAATTAACTGGCAATGCTATCAAAATTACTTAGTTAAGTAGTTACTTGAATGTTAAAAGATGAAGGGGATCAAGGGAAGTTTTGAAGAACATTGTTAGTTTCAAATTGTTCAAGTTCTTTTTTATACTGAGTTTAGTTTATGAATGAGATAAGACGCGAAAACAGACTATGTAGGTACCTGAAACATAAATGGCTCGTGTTTAAATTTAAGGCTAATTAAATTGGACATTGAATTCAGACCCTTTTGTTTTATGAAGTAAATTCTAAATGTATGAATAAATATTTCAGTAGTAAAAACTTTTCAATGTGTAGTTTTAATTTGAGTACACAACACATATAAAAAATATATTCTATACTTAGTTTTAGTACTCAATATTGGTTTGAAAACATATAATTATTATGTATCTCATATATAATAATAATCAGTAGGGCAAAGGCAATTGGGTACTTTCCTTACTAAAAAATAAATTATTTCGACCGTTTCATTACAATAAAATATTAAAAAATAATAATACTATCATTAATTGATTTTAAGATCAACTTAATTTTAGTATTTTTACAGCATTTAAAAAAAATATATAAGTATGCTGTTTGACGTTATAAAAACGTGACGTTACAATACACAATCTCGTACAAAATTCATAGAAATCTGTCGGTTTTGACAGTTCGATTCATTATTTAGTGTAGTTTTTTACTTTAAGATAACCATTTTGAAACGGAGGTCGCAATTCTATTTTCAAACACAAAAAAAAATTGCAGAAAAACGAAAAATTTTTGTTTACCTACTTTTCATTGCATTTCTTTTGTGAGATCGCAATTCTCTTTTCAAACACAGAACAATGACAAAAAGAGCGAACTCTTTTTACTTTACAGTTCCCTTTGCAACCAATAAGCCGAGGAAGAAGACTATCATAATAATCAATTTTAGTCCTTATTCGCTCTCAATTAAGTAGACTTTGCTAATGAAAATTTAATTTAAGCCAGTCAATAATTTCTGGCGGATCCTCGCCCTTACTTTAACGTGGTTCAGTAAAAGTTTACAATGTCATAACAATTTTATGGGCTCCTTCATAATTTAGTCATTCGAAAGAGTAACGCTTTGTGATTTTAAATTTAAACTCAGTACTTAAGTAGTTGTCGGAGTTTATCTTAAAATATAACAATGAATTTTATGTTATATTTTTGTTTGGTTCTTTATAATATGTTGGTAAAGTTAAGCATCCACGTGTCATCATTATTTGTAGTTGGTAATAAGATAGAAAAATAAGAAGTGTGGGAGAGGCATACTTCGGCACAAATGGGCCGGCTCGACCGGAGTGATACCACGCCCTCACAGAAAACCGTCGATAAACAACGGTTGCGTTATGTTTCGTTGTGTGAGCGAGGTTACCGGAGGACGAATTAATCCCCTCCCCTATTTTCCTCCCTAATTCCCGAATCCTCAAAAATCTTTAAACTCCTTATCCCCAAAAGGCCGACAACGTAGTTGTAACGTCTTTAGTGTTCCGGATGTCCATGGGCGGCGCCGATTGCATACCAGCCGGTAAACCAGCAGACGGATGTCTGTCTGACGGATGACGGATGTCTAAAAAAAGATTTCTTTATTTATGTATGTATGTTTTTGCTGGTTTCTTATCATTACATGGTCCACTAATGGTTCCTTTTCTGATATAGTAAGCATATATCTGTCTTAATCATCAGATGACTTCAACATCACTTGATTAACGAAGTTTATAATAAGTTGGGCACAGTAACAAAGTATCTCAGACTTAAGCAATTATTTAGTTAGTGAATTTACTTAAACTGCAGTATTTATTAAAATAAATTCACACATAAATTCTCTCTTTGAAATATCTATGATTTCTACCACTGACCACATATCTTGCACTCAAAACCGTTCTAATTTTAAATGTGGACTAGTAAAATTAATTCAATTTCTATCCCAGCTGCAGTCCGACCACCAAATAGAATTGGGAAGATTCTAATTCCATTTCCTAGAGTGTTTGGCCATAAAATTTTCTCTATTGTTATTTTATGGGACATAAAGTTTGAGATATCAGTACCGTTATCGACGACCGATCTCGTATTTATTAGGAATTGTATAGGCCAACTTTGGAAATATCCTGTAGTCCGTAATTGGATAGTTGTCGATAGTTCTGCGTTTTGAATTTGGAACGTTATGGTAACGGTTTTTTGAAGGGTGTTTGGACGTTTTGTTGTGTATTTGCCATCGTTTTTTATGTTGCGTTGTTATGAATATAAATAGTTATGGTTGCTCTTAAATATTATAGAAGTTGATATTATTATAAGCTCTGTGTGTTGTTATAGAACTGCGCTGTAGACGTCCAAACAATATTACCTACCTAGATTAGTTTTTAGAACACTAGTATGATTTTAAAACTAATCTTAAAATACTATCACGTAGGTAAGTAGTTAGATAAAAAAAAACAGAAATTGCCTATTCTTAGTGCGATTTCTCAGTCATCAATATTAACTGATTCTGATTCTGATCTTAACTGTAGAATAAAATTGACATTTGACAGTTTTTAGTACGGAAAAATTGTCAAATATTCAAAGTTATTCCTTTCACTCGCCGCACACACTCCCGCACTTGTTTATGACACTGCGCCAATGTCGCTTTGACATTGGTTGTCCCGTTGTATTCGCGTTGTGCTTTGTTTTAGTCTACTAATGGTACAGGTACACTAGTTGATGAATGATTCGTGAAAACAATGCCACACACGTACCCATCAATTTGTGCACCAATGAAAATGTTATATGGGGCAATGTTTAAAAAAAATGTCAAAGCGACATTGGTGCAGTGTCGACAATGAGTACGAGTGTTGGTACGTACCGTACGTACGGTATAGGCTAGCCGTTTGCCAAAAGCATCTAACCTAACCTTGCCCCACTTTGAAAAATCCAAGAATAAAGAACAAAAATATATTGTATGCCATCAAACAAAATATGTACAGACTGCGATATATCTTACGTCAACCATTTTGGCTCGCAACTCTTTGTCAATCACATTTACGATGTCGCATCGAGTCCTTATTTCCAAATTTTTGCTGTACGAGGAAGAATATATCTTCGATCTCGTTTTACTGCAGGATAAAAATCTGATCCTGTAAAAGTACTTTCATATTTTGTTTTTGTTGTATCTATGAATAAGTATTTTTTTATAATAAAGTTTTGCCGCACTCTAGGATTTTCTCCTGTGTCGTGGGTGTGTTTACAAACATACCTACACATGACACCCAGACCAAAACAATAATTTATGGATTGTTCTATTTGGGAATCACACCCGCGATTCGTTGCACAGCAGCCAGTTCCCCACCCACCACGGAAACCGTGCAGTCGAAAATATACAATTCCTTGTAGAAATTTAATGTCGCATTCAATTTTGTCAAAAAATTCGTATGAAACAATAAAATCAACAAATAAAATATCATTTTTTGTTTAACCCACTCGAAATTAAACTAGTATACACCTAAACAAAGTGTTACCGCTTATTGCAAGATAACAATTAAAGTATTAAAATCACTTTACTATCAAATATTCATAAAAAAACATGTCAAAGGAGTCTATACAAGAAATGCGATCAAATCTCAACTACAGAGCGATCACGAAATTTTGATCTGAATTTCGACAATACTAAAGGTATAGTAACCTTGCATTGTATAGTAATCTTGATCCTTTGAGCTCTGTTTCTGAAAGGCTATCTCTATAGATTAATACTCAGACAAGATTACATTGTAAAATCCAATTAAAATGTCTAATTAGGCCCCTAGACTTTACTAATGAACTTAGAATATAATTTCCACCTGATGTTATAAGCTAATGTGTTTACCTACTTAATATTTAAGAGATTATATTAGCGAAGCTACAAAAGAGTGAGATTATGGAAACTTCATATTAAAATTTTGTTACTCATATTAAAATGAATGTAATCTTTTTCGTACTGTGTCTGTTGTACAGTATGTACATCTTACTCAAGTGATTGCAAGTAACCACAGTATATCGAGGGGTTTAAAAGTGATACCTATAAGATTGTATGATTTTCATGGACAAATACTTACACATAGTTTTCTATATTGTACCTATCTCTTATGATAAGGTAAAAAGAAAATACAAACACGATAAGAAGATCCTCAATCAAAACTAAAACAACTTCCCAGGGTAGTACTAACGATCATATCATTGAGATTGTAGAACATACTTTTTTTAAGAGTAACGAAAAGAGTTTCTTGCTCGTTCTTCTCCATTCAAATCTACACGTTAGAATGAGCACCTAGCTTCACTTAGTTTCACTGACGAACTGACTTACAGACTATTATATATTTTGTATTAATTTGTTGACGTTTCAAAAGTACCAAAATTATGGTTTGATTGAAATAAATGCTTTGACTTTATCACAAATCTACATGAAAAAAGAAAACCACAATATTAGCCCATTTCCAACAACTTTCTTGTTACCATTCCAGCGTTGCCACCCATCGCTCCAGTACTGAAGGCAGATAAGGACCGCTACCAGCCAGGAGAGGTGCTGAAGGCAAACTGCACATCATCACCAGCGCGGCCAGCTGCCAACCTTACCATCTACATTAATGAGGAGGCTGTAAGTTATTTATTTTTACGACAATACAAATACAAGTATTTTTTTTTATGGCATAAGCCGGTAAACGAGCAGACGGATCACCTGATGGTAAGCAATCAGCGTCGCCCATGGACATCTGGAACACCAGGGGTCCCAAGTGCGTTACCGGCTTTTTGGGGATTGAGAGTTTGAGGATCGTTGGAGATTCAAGGATTGGGGAGATTGGGGAAGGGGAGGGTAATTGGGCCTCCGATAACCTCACACACACGACGAAACACAACGCAAGCGTTGCTTCACGTCGGTTTTCTGTGAGGCCGTGGTATCACTCCGGTCGAGCCGGCCCATTCGTGCCGAAGTATGGATATTTCCCAATTCACCAAATCACTAAAGCAGAAGTAACTATTCTGAAAATCACACAAGTCACCTCGCTCTGTCCCTCGATCGCTAGTGTCAAACTCACTTATTTTCGGAAAACAAAAACTTTAATCACACCACGGATTCAGAAGTTATTTTGCAAATTAACGTATAAAATAGCATAGCATGTAAAGTACTTACGTAGAATAAATATTTGATTTTTTACGCTAATAATACATTATGATACCTAATAATAAACCTACAAAGAATGTATTGAACTGAAACTCCATTATAATCAGTACGCGCATCGTGGTTGCTCGTTTAGCTTCGAGCTCACCATACATGCTGGATACTAGACAAGATCATTACTAAAATGAAGCATTGTAATAAAACAAATTCTGAAGAAAAGAGAAATAACTGTAATAATTCTGATACATTATTTTTATAATAATTATCATACACACTGTCATACATTTATCACCCGAAAATCACATAGACAAGCGATAAATACAAGCACATTTTAAGTCTCAGGTGAATTTTTAGACAAAATTCATTTATCAAATTACTCGTACTTAACAGCACTCATTCATAAAAATAACTTTTTAATTTCAACAAAAAAAAGTTTAGCCTTTATACAATTTTAATTGATATTAATTTATTTAATTTGTAGGTGTAAAAGTTTTATAATTACATTCTTTGGTAGGCCATCTGCAAGTTATTCGGTATTTCAATGAGATTCAACAGATGGCTCTTTTTAAAATCTAATCATATTCATTAATCATTTCTTTTAGAAAAGTCTGTTTAATATTAACAAGAATTTTTTATAAGTATTATTATTTGAAATTGTAGGTGAGTAAAGGTGACTTTAGTGTTTATAAAAGTTAAAATCGTGTGGCAAACGTCTGGATCTTTATAATATTTTAAAAGCAAGTTGTCTAGATTTAGAATTATGTTGACAAATACTTACCGCCACTATAAGATAATACCTTTAAGAACACTTATTGATACATTGCGTCTAAAAGTTACTAAAGTTTGTAATTCGGGCATCAATTTGGGCGTCGATTTTCTTTCACATGTTGCCGAAAAGATATATAAGGACCTTTTTTTTATTTTTATACTAGCTACTTCCGCGCGGTTTCACACGCTCTGCTCAGCTCCTATTGATCGTAGCGTCATGTTTTATAGCCTATAGCCATCCTCGATAAATGCACTATCCAACACAAAAAGAATTATTCAAATCAGACTTGTAGTTACGGAGATTAGCGCGTTCAAACAAACAAACAAACAAAAAAACAAACTCTTCCGCTTTATACCTCTATAATAGTATAAGTATAAGATTTGATGCGACGTTTGACCACTATAGGTATTCTAATAAAACCCACAACGAATTCAGCAGTTCCTCTTTTCTATTTCTTTTGAATTATGAAAACAGGCCTAATAGTATGCTTTTGAAATAAATATAACCGTACTTACTTTTACATTCATCTCATTTCAGCTCCGCTCATCAGAAACAAGTCTTCATCCATCTGAGAGTGGTTTACTCTGGACCAGCGTCAAAGCAGACGTGAAGGTTACTCCAGAGCTGTTCCTCGGCGGCCGGCTTAGGGTGGCCTGCCTCGCCACAGTATATGACGTGTACAGGAGCTCAGCAAACCTGGACTTCTTTACACCAGATACGGATCCTCGGCCTGAGAGGAGTGAGTATCCTTTGGAATAGAAAAATATACGCAACGGCCAGTCTGAAGCATCTATTTATGAAATTGATTACAATAAATGGAAGTAAGCCATTGTCAAAGATAATGAAAAGTGAAATTAAAACAACATAACATCACGCCTTTTATCCTCGAAGGGGTAGGCAAAGGTGCACATTACGGTACTTAATGTCACTGTACAATGTAACACTCACTTTTCACTATTTATGTTATGAGTCCAATGTAATAAGGAGTGACCCTATTGGCATGTACTGGACACAATTTCAGACTCCGTGCTACTACTGAGATTTTTCTAGAAACCCAATTATACTTTGACCGACCCGGGAATCGAACCCGAGACCCTTTACCCAGCAGTCGCACATGTGACCACTCGGTCATCGAGGTAGTGAAATTAAAACTTACGAGTGAATGGTACTGAGGCGGAATTGTAAAAAACAAAACTACGCTTAGCGCCATCTCTCGACAAGTGCTGGAACTTTATATAAAGTTACACTACGTAACTCATAACTATATTTTATCGTTAAAAGGATGTTAGGAAAAATGAAAAATAAATATAAATAAATTATATTCTATGAAGTATCAAACTAATTTGCCATTCTTTCCTAATTCCAGTCACCCTCAACAGTGCATCCAAGACGTTCCAAAGCTGGATCCTGTTGTTCCTTCTCTTCTTGCTGCCTGTAGTGATGGGACAAGACTACATAGTACCCTTCGTTGAATATGATGATTATGATGATAAATACGAAGCCGTGGCCAGGTCAGCCCTACTTGGCGGCTGAATACACACCATAGATTTAATTTTAATATACGAATTTAGTGTGATAAATAATTGTAAACACGATACTTTAATTAAGCACTGCGTTTTTGGATTTTTGTTTTCGTTTGAGTATTTAATTTAAGGTTTTTTTTTATGCCACTCATTATGAATGTTTAAGGACTGACTTAATCATTACAGATCTGATTGAATATTACCGTTACTTTTGAAAAAAGAAGTATATATACCAAAGTAAATAGACATTTTACTAAAATCATTATTTAAAAATAGATACCAGGAATAGTAAAAAAGTCTTAATAATCTCTTGTCTGTTGATATATGAGATACATTAGAAAACGCATTGTGTCTCGCGTAGATCTACTCTCCGATATACGGTATATGGTATATCATATATCAGAGGTTAAATAACAATATCAAGGTATATTTTTAAATATAAAAGAACCTAATCGAAAATAACTATTTGTACCTAGTGTAGACTTGATACCGTACCTACTTATTACAACTTTCATTATGTAATTAAACACCATAAGTATTTTTTTATTAATACCCAATCTCACACACAATCACTTTGTTTAAAAAATTCTTCGCATTTTGTGTTTAATCTGCTTTTGGTGAAGAGTTCAAATTGCTTTACCACACAATTCAAAAAATATTATTCTAACACAATTTGTACATTCCATTTTCTATGTAATTATATTCTATATAATATATAAGTATTCTATAATGTGTAAATATTGCTGAAATTATATAATATACACAGTAAACGATATTGTGATAACTATAAGGGCTGAGAGTGGTCCTAGGTTAAGTGTAACTAATGAGGAAAATTAAATTTTCATTATTTTGTTAATATAATTAATTGTTATTAAAGTTATGTACAGTTTGTCGGTAAAGAATTCATAACTATACATCTATATTTAAAATGAATATCTATAGTATTCATTTAAGAATTTGGTTTTTGAATTTTCAATCCCCAAAAACATTAATAAAACTTATAATATTAGCATCGAAAATATGTATTTATAAATGCTTATGAAACATACACCGGGCATGGCATCATTGTGCACGATTTCAAACCCTTAGTCATGAATATAAAATTACTTTTTGTTTAATCTAATCGTCACTGTGTAACCAAATCAATAGCAAGCCAAATGTTTGTATTTTATTCTTAATATTACAGTTTTATTAGCTTTTTTATGCATAACATGTTATATTTTGAAGCAAAACTTCAAACTATTCAAATGGGTGCTACCGTATTTTTGGACATCAGTTGGTCCAATGAAGAAAAAGATTTTTTATCCAATCATAGCAGTTGTCAAATATTGAAGGTGACACTAGCCAATTCCCTATTGGACGAAGAACAAGAGGTTCACACTGGCGCCGTCTGGTGAGCAAAAATACGATAGGCCCTATTCTGTTCAAGAATTGTTAAATTATTTAAAATTGTTCTATATCGCAACACAATCTCTAGCTAGCTTCAAACACGTGAATTTTATACTACATAATAGGTTCTTGCTAATCACTGTTTCTATTAAGGTTTTGTGAACTGTATGGAATGAACCAAGTGGACAGTGAGATGTACATTATTAATAAGAATTAAAATTTTGATTCAGTTAATTAATTAATTTGCAATAAAATGTTAATTTGCTTATCTATGTATATTTATACCCAAGACATTGAGATTGTAAAGTTAGTCGACGATTGAAAATAAAAGTCAAGTTATTTATACACATTACAATTAATCTACAACATATTTACTTAAGAAATAGTAAAGCTAAGGATACACTAGGGCACAAATGTTCCAAGACATGTACTGTCCACATTTCAAGCGCAGCCGGCCGATTTACCTTCATGTATGTATATGGCGACTACGCGCGACTGTGTCCCCTAGTGTATTCTAAGCTTAAACCTAATAAAAAAACTGAAACATTAAAAAGTTTATTATAAACCATATTTTTGTAAGAAAACAGCGTAATGCTCGTCAGACTTCCAACTCGAATGGCCGTTTCAACTCTTTGCGCGGAAAACTTTACTGATCTGTCACATTTGACAGATGACAGTGTCAACATGACAGCTAGTGTTGCCGATAACACAGATTATAAACCAGTAACGTTCATTTAGTTGATTTTTATTGTTTATCACTACATACATAGGTACTGAACATTCCTGTTGAAATTTCTTCCTGAGAACCTGCGAATGAATTGATGATGAAGATACAAAATATGGGCTCGACATAAAGTTTTCTTTTCATTCGTTCAACTAGCTTTTTAGTTCTACAATATTTTATGTATGGAACACAATATTCAAATTAAAATATTTATTTTAATGTTAATATGTATTAAAGAATTACTTACAACCGAAGTAAGGCATCAATCGTTTGGAGACTTAATAATAATAAAAGATTTATAATAGTTCTAAATTAAACTTAACATCGAAATAAATAGGTTTAAATAAATAATGTAATTACTTATACCTACTGTCAGTAATTTGTAAATAGTATCAGTAACGTAAACAAAGATATCTTTACTATGGAGAATTCCTAAGAATTTAATGGCATTTTTTTATAAGATTCGTCGGCAAATGAAGAGATGAATTACGTGATGATAAGCTGCTAAGAAGTGGAATGCATTGCCTGAGTTTGTATTTCCTGAACGGTATAACCTGGGTGTCTTCAAGGCCCGAGTGAATAGATTGCTTATGGGACAACGTCCTTCATCGTAGACCGTATCATCACTTACCACCAGGCGAGATAGTGGTCAAACGTCGACCCATCAAATGTATAAAAAAAGCGATGGGCATTGTGTTCATAGATGCCGTAACACTAGAGGAATTAGGTACCGACCTTTTGAGGATTAAGGATTTGAGTTGATTACTGGTTGTACAAATGCACTTGTATTGAGGAGACCTTGTACGCATTTCGTAACACAAACTGCATATAATCTCTGGCACTCAATCATTCAATCTATGTTTTTAGTAATTACTGTCGTACTTACTTAATTGTCACTGCATTTAATTATTACTTAAACTATTTGATGACGATATAACGATTTTGTATTGAAAATAACTGCTAAGGACTGGGATCAGTACCCATTAAATGACTTTGAGTACGGCGATTAGAGCTTTAATATTAATCAATGAAAGACGTTTTTTGTTTGCTCTTTTAATAAAGTCAAATTAAAGTTATATCAATTATTATTACATAGACCAATAAATTACCTTTGAATGTTAATAAAACTATTAAAACATGGAAGTGTGCATAGTTCTATGAAGAACATATACAGTACTGTTGATATTTGTAAAAATATGTTTCTTCTCGTATATTATTATAATTTGATTCAACTAATTATAATATTATGTCACAAGAGCACGAATCACATTAATCATTTTGTATTGTTAATAATTTTGTCCAAAGACTTTTTTAATTATTGTAAATCAAAAGAAAATTGTAAATAAAAATTAAAATTTTGAAAATAAACATGATAATTTGTTTTATTTCATACCTTGATATGAATTTAAACAAAAATAAAATACTGGTTATTTTTATACCGACACGCATTGTGAGAAGAGGCCTTTGGTCAGCAATAGCCACTTATAGGCTGTTGATGTTGTTGTTAGTATGTTTATATCATAACTTTCGCGAGACATACAAAATAATTATTATGTTTTTCGGTTTACTCACGTAATTATTTGACGAGGAACTCGACTAGTTTGCTGCTCATGAATATGACCTTGCATGGCTTGAAACTTCTTCGGCCGCTGTAAGCACGGGCCTGCGGACAGCGAGCATGGGTAGCTCGCCGCCCGACCAGAACCAGACCCGAGCGTGCGGTGCGTCGCGTTCCGCGCGCGCCTCAAAGAGCCATCAGACCACCACATAGATGAGGCCCAATAGGGCCGATGCCGATACGGAACCACGGAGAACTTAACGGTTTATCGAGGCTCCGGCTCAAAGTGCAGGAGTAGGAACGGGGTGGGTTTTAGTCAGTAAGAGTGAAACTCCCTACCGCCTCACCCAGGCGGGAGAAGGCATTCGATGATTTTAGCACCTTTAAAAAAAATGGCTTATAACTAGGCGGGTTTCTCGTCAAATAATTACGTGAGTAAGCCGAAAAACATTATCATTAATTGGTTATGTTGTTATCTCTACGATATAGGTACTGAGTGATGTATGTACATTATGCATACTCCGCTAATACGGGGTGTTGATGGTGATAATTAGTATTTACATTCATGCCTTAACTTCTTCGATAAACTCGATAGCTAACTGTGTAATAAGTTTCAATAAACACCCTGTTACATGAGAATTGTGTGACAAACCTTTGACCATACACTAGGTAGGTATTATTATATACTTCAGACAACATTTTTTTTTAATAGTACTTTGACACATTGAATAATGAGTTCGAAAACCGAGAATAGAATAAAGGCTAAGAAAAATGTAGGTAATAAAATTACCTAAAAAAATGTAGGTAATAAAATTACCAACATTTTTCTTAGGATTAAAGCAGAAAGACTATAATGATGAGGATGATTGGATGACAGATAAAGTTGCTCATAAGAAAGAGAAAAAAGAAAGAAAAAACAATTTTTTCAGCACCAGGCAAGATGCAGCATATACAAAATAAAGAAAAATTCCAAAAAAATAAACATTAAATGCAGTGTGTGAGCAGGTAAAAAGAAAACTAAAATAAAACAGAAAAAAAGATGCTAACAACTTGCCCAAGCTAAATGGGTTACCCACTAAGCTAAGAAACCTAGGTACATGGGTAAGTTTTTTAAGGGGAAAAATCATCGAATGACTGCTCTCGCCTGGGCGAGGTGGGAGGGAGTGTCAGACTCTTTCTGACTAAAAACCACCCCGTTCCTTCTCCTGCACGTCAAGCTGGAGCCCCGGTTACCCGTTAGGTTCTCCGCGACTCCGAATCGGCATCGGCCCTATTGAGCCACATCTGTGGTGGTCTGATGGGTCTTTGAGGCGCGCGCGGAACGCAACGCCGTACGCTC